GAACGATAAGATCAAGATGGGTAACACAAAATAGTGAAAAAGAAAAATGATAATGAGATGAAGATTTCAAAGTTGAAGAATAAAACTGAAAGAAAAAGAAGAACAAAAATGGTAGATGAAGAAAATAAAGTATAAGAAGATGAAAACCCGACGATGAAAAAGAAAATAAAAAAGAAGAAAGTAAAGATGCGAAAAGGACAAACAAAAATTAGAAAGAAAAAAAAGTTTGGATAGGACAAAAATGACCAAGAAGAAGTAAAAAGCAGAAGATAAAAACGGCTAATAAAACCAAAAAAAGAATCGTAGAAGATGTTGAAGAATAAGAATTTAGAGAATACAAAGACAATAAAATAAAACAAAGAAGAAGGGGCAGACAAATAAAACAAAAAAAAATCAACAGAAAAAAACGAAGAAAAAACCGAATAAAAAAAAATCAAGAAGTCAAAGAAGATTAATACAATACATAAGAAGAAATAGTCAAAAACAATGAAAGATAAGAAGGAAAAAACAAAGAATAGAAAAGCAAATAAAGATAAAGGAGAAGAATAAGAAAACAACGATAATGTGAACAAAAAATAATACGGTGAACAAGTAAGATAAAAAAAATACTCGGATAGGTCGAAGACGATGAACAAAAAAAAATTAAATGACTAATTGGAGAAGAAAAAAGATAATCAGAATAAGAAGTAATAAAGGAAAACCAGTAGATAGTAGAGGAAATGAAAGAAAAAAATAATAAAATGGAAGAAAACTAGAAGATGAAGAAGACAAAGTAGAAAAAGGTAAATATGATAAAAAAAAACGAAGACAAATCAGATGAATAAGAAGTAAAAAAGATGAAGATAATAAAGAAGAACAATTTGAAAACAAATAACGATAAAAAAAAAAACTCAAAAATATAAGGAAAAAACTAAAAAAGAGAAATTATAAACCATGAGAGGAGTAAAAAGACAGATAAGACAAAAATCTTTAAAATATGATGAAGAATTTAGAGAGATGAAGACTAATTGGAAGAAGAGGAATAAGAATCTGTTGAAGGAGAAAAAAAAATAAAATAGAAGACAAAGTAGAAGAAGAAGAAGATAGGAAAAAGAAAAAATTGGATGAAAACCTTAAAAGATGAGAAATTGGAGAAAGTATAAGAATATGAAGATGAGTTAAAAGCCGAAAAACACCAGAAGAATAGAAAGTCGATGATAACGAAGAAGACGATGGCAATGAAAAAGGAAAAGAAAAAAAGAAGAAGAAAGAGAATAATAAAACATTGAAGAAGAAAAAGAAAGGAAATAAAACCTAGAAGAGAAGAAAATCAAAAGATGTATGAGAGGAAAAAAGAAAAGATGTGGAGAAGAAGAAGAAAACGTGAAAAAAGAAAAATCAGCAGAATAAAAAGTAAAAAAAGACATAGAAAGTGAAGAAGAAAAAAAATTAAAAAATAAAAAGAGAAAAAGATGAATAATTCATATTAATCTTATTTTAGTTTGTGTTTATTGATTTCATACACTTATTAGTATTGATTTTAAAGTTTTTAATGTTAGACAATGATTATTTTTATAGGTTAGCTTTATTTTAATTTTGTATGTATCAAATTCTTGATCTAATTATTTTTGATTTATGACATAAAATTTTATTTTAGGTTTCAATGAAACTTTTCGGTTTGCGCAAATCGCGGGCTAAACACCTAGTTATAGATATAACCAAACCAAACTGAAACAAAAAATATGGTTCTAATATGGACATTTTCTTTCCAAATAAGAAATTCCAAACGAGCTCGTTATCTCCGTGAAAGATTTTTCATATTCAACTGTTTTGATAAAAAGAATAGATTGAGTTTAAATTCCAAAGACTCTTAATATCTTGTTTAACAAATTTGGGATCCGAGATAGTATTTTCATGGAGAATCAATGAATCAGTGCAAGAGAAGATCTTAAATTTCACCAATAACATTAGAAAACTATAAAATTTCATTCAAGAAATAATAACTAAAAACAACGAACTTATTATTTTGTGATTGATTTTCGAAAGGGAAAAAAACAGGTTTACTAACCCGTTTGCGAGTAAGGTTTTGATATCCAAAACATCGTGGAAATTCACTTCTTCATCGTTTTCTTTAAAGTTTGGTTATGTAATTGTGGATGTGTTTTTAAATTATTTATTTATTAATGAATTATTATGGATGTATAACTCTTGTATTCGATTTAAAATCAATGAATGAAAAAATAAATAAAAAAATCAAAAACCAATAAATGGAGTGACTAACCCAGATCCCATTTACAAATTAAGTTAACCGAATTGGACCGGTATTTGGACTGTATGTCGAATGCGACACCGTATATTGTCAATGTGTCCACCACTTCGACCCCGAAATCTGGCTCGTCTCCTCCATTAAACATCTCGCCAGATAAACTCCGATCTCTCCCTCTCTCTCTTTCTTTCTATCTCTTTGCCTGTCGACCCTCTTCCTAAAGATGCAAGCCTTCTACATATTCGTCGTCTCTCTGCTTCTCACTCTTAATTCGAGGGTTCGTTTCCTTTTTCAAATCGTGCACTCGTCTATTCTTCTGTTTCTCACGGGAATTGCCTTTATAAATCTATAACTTATGGATCTGACTCTTTTTGTTTTGTTATAAATTGGATCGATGTTTGTGATAGGGAGAAGCCAGTGGTTCTGTTTTCTTCATAGATGGATCCAACAACCAATATCTTCGTCCACGATCAGAGGTAAATCATTGTCACTTGCCTCTTAGAGTTTTTTGTCCCAAAATATGTGGATTAACGAATCAATTTGTATAGTTTTGTAATTTAATCTAAGATCTTCGCTTGAAATGAAGACGAGTTTCCTGGTTATGTTTCCTTCCACATTGGTTTTTGTTGGGAAATCTCTTATTTCGTTTGGTCGTAGATCAGGTCAATGTATTAGACGGAGACACGAATTCATTGAAGCTATACAGTAAGATCCATCATTTTGTCTAAGCGGCACCAATCTGAAGTTTTCTTGTCTGGTTTTGTTTTTTTTTTTGGTATGCTCTTGATGAGAGATCACATTCCAAATTCATGTTTGACTAGTACTCAAGTTTGTGACTTTGATAGTTCTTTTGTTTAAATTTCTATTTACCAACACATGAATCCCTTTTGGGCTAGAATCAAGTGGTGGTTTGGTCACTGATTTTTTTTCATTGGGTATTGGGTGATTATCTTTTATGTTGTGGCACTTTGTTTCTCTAATATGTCCTTTATAAGTAAATGCTACTAAAAGATTGCACCATGCGATTCCATTATCAGATTTAGTTATCTTCTTTTTTTTGAAATGAAATCCATAGGTGCTTCCCATGTCGCTCTCTGAAATATCTGCGTCAGTGTCCGCCTTGTTGGGTTTTGCACCACCAGCTACTTTGACAGCTGATGGCTCATCCAAGGTTTTTAAGAATTCTAGTAAAGTTCTCTTTTTTTATATCTTTGGTGAAAGTTCTGTACTTGATCATCCCTTTTTTTTTATAATAGCTGAATAGGATTCTAAAGCCTAATCCATTTGAGAGGCCTCGTGCTGCTTTTGTCCTAGAAATCGCTGGAGCTGGTACACAAATAATTCACTGAAAAGCTTTAATGTTCTGACATGAATCAACTTTTCAAAAATTCGTAAGACATTCAAGTGTTTATATTGTAACTGCAGATGCGCTTGTGGAAACCCACACTAGTCATTCTTTCTTGGGGAATGCCATAAGGAGCAGTATTAGTTCTGATTCTTACAAAGCAGAGATTGAACTTCCAGGTGCCCTGATAGCTTGAATAGCAGAACTATCTGATAAGCTTGACTAGTTTCTAGTTTTCTTCATTTGGGTTCAAGTCTTCCTTTGAATATATTCTGTTAATCTTTTCAAAATTCTGCAGAAAGTGAAGTGGCTGTTGTGTCTGTCAATGAACCCACGTCTGATGCGATTGACAAAGACATGAATGAGTTTGTAAGTTAATAATACCTGTCATTCTAAGTGCAAACACTATTGTTTGTCTTTTTCATTGTAATGTGACCACTAGTTAATTGTGTGGTTATACTATCTGTAGGCATCTTGGTTGGGTGGATCATATGTCGCTGGCTCTGCTGAACCATTGACTGGATTGTTGAGAATCCCTCTGGCTGGTGGTGCTAATGTGGAATTCCATTTGGAAAAGGTGATACTCTTAATTCCATGAAATTGTTTGTAGATATTACGATTTCTGTTGAAGAAGGCTTTTGACTTTTGTTACCGTGGGCAGGAAGCAGAGAGGAAATTTGCGTTGAACCTTTTGGATCTATATAAGAATATCAGACGGGCAGTCAACCTTCACGAGGATATATCTAATGGTATTGAGAGACCTGCTGAATTAACTGTTGGACGCTTTGGCGGCATCGATGTAAGGCTTATTATTATTATCTTGAACATCTTTGTTATTCTACTTAACGCCAATGTGCCTGACATGATTTATTCTCTCTGGTAATCATAGGCTTTAGCACAGGAGTATGGGAAAGGTATGGCTAAGCAAGGGATGGATGTATTGCTTGCCACACTATCAAAGCTATTCGACCTGTTGGAGACATCTCATAAAGGTGCAATTGTCTATGTGATTTGATAAACTCATTATGCGTCTTAGAAAATAGCTCAAGATGATGAACACTTCGACTGATACTCAATCCCTTGAAAAAAAAATTGTTTTTCTTTACTGTTTGGTTTGTGTGTAAGCTGATAAATGTTTTGGGATCTTGCAGGCCAAATTGTTGGGGTGATCGTCCTTGATGAGAGAGTAAATCAAGAATCAGAAAATCTGCTGAGCGTTGAGCCTTCTTCTCGTTCATCTGCACGCTCGATGGCTGAGGTAGAGGGAATTCCAAGTGCAGCCATTATCGCTGAAGTTATACTTGTTAGGCTGACACTTGCTTGGTTGACTGGAATAATCCTGCTCATTGCCACTATCCTTGGGGTAAGATCACATAATTTCAATATCCTCTCTCTTCAATCAATGAACTATCAAGCAGATAAAGAATCATCGTAGTTTTGTAGCTGAAATGTTGAACCTATAAGTCGTTGAAGTTTGACAGTCAGTGCTTCTCATGGTCGTTGCAGGTGTACTTCCTCATGAACATGCCTTTGACTAAGGACACGCTTCTATATTCAAACGTGAAGCTCGATTAAGACATTAAATATGAATCATCTTGAGTTTGTGTGTATCAAGCCGTGTTTCTCAGCTGGCCGCATTTGAAAACCAGGTCTTATTTGAATGTTTTAAGAAAAAGGATTACACTTTTTGTGGTCAGACCAGTGGATGTGTATATTTGCCATAAGGTTACATTCTCGATTTATAATTTATTTTCTTCTTACATACATGTGAGTCTCAGTGCTAATAATAAAAGAACACTTCATGTAATCTTCTGTTTCCTGTAAGAGCTTCATGGAATCTGAATGGATTATCTCAATTTCTTTAGAAATTGTGTGTTTCTCAAGTTAAGTAGTGATGAAAAGAAAAACATCATCAATTATTAGGACATGATGACTAAAAGGAAACTCATGTTCCTGTCTGATTCTCTGATCAAAACGTGTGTGTACCTTATCCAATAAAAAAATGCCACTTGCGATCTCTCTCCCAACCTCATCTACTTCTCGTTTCTTCCCTCGCCATGCAAATCTCCGATACCGACGCTTCACCGGAGCTCGATCTTCCGCGGAATCAAAGAATCAGACGGGCGTCATCATAATCGGCGCCGGACTCGCTGGTTTAGCCGCCGCGACTCGTCTCACCACCGAACGAATCCCTTTCCTACTCCTAGAAGCTTCCGATGGCGTCGGCGGACGCGTCCGCACAGACATAGTCGACGGCTTCTTCCTCGACAGAGGATTTCAGATCTTCATCACTGCGTATCCCGAAGCTAAGAAGCTTCTAGATTACGAAGCGCTTGACCTGCAGAGATTCTACGCCGGAGCTAAAGTCTTCTACGGCGGAAAATTTCACACCGTAGCTGATCCTCTCCGACATTTATCGGACTCGGTGGCTTCTCTCACGAACCCGATCGGAACCGTCGTGGACAAAGCTCTTATCGCTGTGACGAGAGCTAGAGTTCTGATCAAGTCAGACGAAGAGATATTAACCGGAGATAACGAGGTTTCGACCGTTGATCTCCTCCGGAAGATCGGTTTCTCCGACGAGATATTGGATCGGTTTTTCCGACCATTCTTCGGCGGAGTTTTCTTCGATAGAGAACTCGAGACGACATCGAAGCTCTTCGATTTCGTTTTCCGGTGTCTTGCTCTCGGAGAAAACACACTACCGGCCATGGGGATCGGAGAAATCCCTAACCAGCTTGCCAAGAAATTACCCGCGAATTCCGTCGTGTTGAACACACGGGTCGCTTCGGTTCAGTATCCAAACGGGTCGGATTCGGGTTCGGGTCCACCTATCGTAAGGCTTCAAGACGGAGGCGTTTTGGAGGCGGAGCTAGGTGTGATAATCGCCGTCGAGCAACCTCAAGTGGATAAGCTTCTCAATGGGATCAGAGAACCGGTTAAGACTAAACCGGCTCGGAGCACCGTTTGTCTTTACTTCACAGCTGAAGCGGATCAGATACCGGTGCAAGATCCGGTTCTGTTTCTCAACGGGTCAAACACCGGAATAGTCAACAACATGTTCTTCGCTACAAACGTTGCTCGGACATACGCGCCGCCGGGAAAAGCTCTGGTTTCGGTGTCTTTGATCGGGTTGTTTGAGGATAGATCCGATGATGATTTAGCAGCAGAGGTTATTCGAGAGCTCTCTTGTTGGTTCGGTGAGTCTTTGGTTATGTCGTGGAGACATTTGAAAACGTACCGGATCCAATTCGCTCAACCGAACCAATGCCCACCTACCGATTTGATGAAAAGTCCTCGGGTCGGGTCGGGTCTTTACTTGTGCGGTGATTACATGACATCTGCTACGTTTGATGGGGCTTTGGTTTCTGGGAATCGAGCCGTTGAAGTTTTGTTACGAGAAAAGGGTCTAATCAAATAGAATCTATGTTTACTCACTGTATTTAAGTTTGTTTTTCAACATTGTTTTCTTTCTCAAGTTTAGTAGTGATGAAGAGAAATATCAACAAAACAACAATAATTATAAATCATTTATTGGGATTTGACATGCTCTGGACATGAGTAGAGTAAAACTCATGTTTCTGTCTGAATCTCTCTGATCAAACCAAATGTACCGAGTTTTTTCTTGCAACTGTCTTTTTTTCCTTAGATTTTGGCGGTTCATAGACTAGTCTTAGGTTTGGGTTTGTAGGCAATGCGTCTGGTCACAGAGCGCATTGTCACGAATTCCTCTGCAGAAGATGGATGTATCCCGACCTGTGTTTTGTTTCACAATGTTAAATTCAATCTTTAGTAAGAAAAGACATCAAACTGTTGAAAGTGAAAACCAAAATGTTGTGATTTATTTTTACTTACCGTGCTATCAAATTGTGCTTTGGTTGCTCCACACTTGAGCGCAATTGCAATTCCCTGCATTAAGCAATAAAAGACACATTAAATCTCACTGTAAAGGAAAGACTTGCACTGTAGAAACAAAACCAAATAAAATAGTAGAAGCTTTTCATTTAAGGAGAACTTGCCTGCATGATCTCAGCTGCATCTGGACCGCACATGGATGCTCCAATAACCTTATCAGTCTTCTCATCAACTATAAGCTTCATTAATGTCTTTTCCTGCCGTCTATCACCAAAAGAATATTGTGTTAGATCAAAGAGAGGGTTAGTTTCCTCAAACAGTGATCAGGTGCAAAATGCATGTTGAAGAACAACCAAGAGAAGAGTTTTAATGAATTATATAACTTTTAATGTTTGCATACCCAGAAATGGTGTTCTTCATAGGATTAAAGCCTGATGTGAAAACAAGAATATCACCGGTCGCTTGTTCTACGGCCTCTTCTTCGCTGAGACCAACCACAGCTAGTGGTGGTATGCTGGCAGACAGAGAAGAGAAAAATGTAAATAAAAAGAAGGTGAAACCTCTATAAATGCTTCAGATTAAATTGGTATACCACAGAAAAATATGTCGAAATCGGAGAGAAGAATGCTTACCAAAATACAGCACATGCTACATTGCTGTAGTCTGCTTTAGTAGGCTTCCCACCAAAAACAGTGTTCTGCAAGCATCAAAACAATCCCAATTAACAGATGAATTATATAATCAGACATTCACAAACACAAGAGTTGAAAGATTTGGTGGTCGAAACTACTCCAAGGGTTTGTGTAAATTATAAGTGCAAAATCAGAGGCATATACCGCAAAGCAAGTGGCCTCCATTAACGCAACAGGTGTGAGGTTAATTCGGTTTGTAGCATCTCCCACAGCCCATATGCTAGGTATATTAGTGCGCGAGTACTCATCAACCTGAAGATAATGTACTAAATTAGTAGGCTGCAAGAGTATAGTTTTTCCTTAGAATGTAAAGGAAAACTATTCTTGAAGATAACATATAAAAAAATTGCGGTAAAATGAAATTTGTTACAACCTTCACTGCTCCAGCCTGATCAACTTCAACACCAACAGCTTCTAAATTCAGTCTCTTGGTATTAGGATTTCTGCCTGTAGTCGATATAAACAAAAGATACATCCTTAACACAGCTCCATGAAAATATGCAATAATAAGAAAAGCCCTTATAAATAAAGTTCAAGGGAGGAAGCCAAAACATACAGTTATAAAAAAATAACGAACGAATAACTACTGTTCTATAAACCCAAAAGCCACACAGATGTACATGTATTAAAGTAGGATAGAACGGGAGAGAATTACTCTAATACATATATACACAAACAGAAACGTGAAAATCACATAACTATTCATAGGTAGAAAAGTTACCAGTAGCAAATAGTACAACATCTGCCACGAATTCTTCCCCGTGAGACGATATTACTTTGATCCCGTCGTCTGTTTTTATCAGCTACATTGAAAGATATAGTATGTTCAGTATGAACTGATGAAACGAGTAAAAAGACCTGTAATGAGACAATGAGAAAAAAAAAAAACAATCAAACTCAGATACCTGAGTCAAACTTGTTTGCGGATGCAGATTAACACCCCGTCCTTCAAGATTTCTAGCCACTAGTGCCCTCATTTCGTCATCAAACCCCCTGAAAAAATAGAATTTTTAAGGGAAAAAAATAAGCCCAAGAAAAACGGGATAGTGTTTCAGTAAAAAGAGTGCCAGGACTGAAAAAAAAAAACAGAAGCTGATGCCGCACCTTAGTGGAAGTTCCTTCCTGAAGAATAAATCTACGGTACCACCCATTCCACGCCATATTGATGCAAACTCCACAGCAATGTACCTGATTAAGAAGTAAATAGTAACGGGATTGAACTTTTGATACGATTGACATGCTAGGTGCATCAACAGAAAAAACATTGAGGAAGACATTACCCTCCTCCAAGCACTACAGCACGCTTAGGAAAATCTTCCAAGCTTAAAGCTTCATCAGATGTAATAGCCAACTCCTGTCAAAGACAATTTATGTACAAAAATCAGTGAAGTTTCCTTACATAGCAGTTTATATTAAAAGTTCGTATTGCAACATAGAATTGGTTCTGTTATTCCTACTAAAATCTTTCCAAAAGATAGTTCGATGAAAAGGATTTCATAAATATCAAACACATCACACTCGTTGCTATTGTAGATAAAGACTGACACAGAAACTTACATGTCCAGGAATATTGGGTTTTTGTGCCCGACTGCCAGTGGCAATCAATATGTGCTTTGCAGTATAGCTTATTTTTGTGCCATCTATCTGTCTCACTTCCACTTCATTGGGACCAACTATTCTTCCTTCACCTTCATACAATTTCACAGCAGCATTCGCCAACAACCGCTTGTAAATATTGTTCAGTCTTAGTATCTCATCAGTCTGCACATAGTGAATTAAAGAACGTTAATGATTATTTCTGTTCGACTTTATAGCAGCACCAAGATATCCAAGCTATGGAAGTATACTAGGCACAGAGGAGGTCAAGAATCATTTCCCACCATTTAACATTCATGGTTGACCAAACAATAACATCTGTATCTTATAGGCTGCGAAAAAGTATCCAAAAGTTTAACCCTCAAAACCACTTGTCTTCAAATAGTTTTCATCATATGCTCTTCAAAATTCCATTGTTTAAAGAGAAAGTGGCAATGCTAATCTCTTACAATTAGCTAAGTTTGTTGGCATGGAGATACTAGTGCAAGCGTATCATGATATCAAACCAATGTAAAATATTTACTTAACCAATGAGATATTAAAACGCATAACGTATTTATAGTATTCCTGCATACCTTCTTTTGCAAAAGCTTCTTCCACGTGAAGTCGACATTCTCATTTATTTCCCACCCATAATTTCTAGCATCCTGCCAGCAAATAACCACAACACACATCATCAACCACAGTTTTTTTCAGTTGACATGTCTAAGGATTAAGTTTCTTTTCACCGAACAATAGAAAGCCTAAAATTTTTGCAAATAGTGATTGCGCAAATGATTAACTATGAACTTTTCTCTTACAGAACGAAAGAAAGTGAAATGATGATTACGAGGGAAAAATGCTTTGTACCTCAAGTTCACCACCGTAAGTTGCCCCATAGACCAGAATCTTTTTGGGAACACAACCACGAATAACACAGCTGAAATTGAAAACAAACAAAAGTATAATAAGATCGCATAAAACAGCTGCAAAAAGATAAGAAGAATATCTCTAACATACATTAAACAGCTTTCACCAAAATACTGAGGAACAGCATAATTCCATATGTTTAAAGAATCAAAAGATCTCTTCTTTACGACAAATACAGAATAAAATAAAAAAACGAAAGCAACAAACTTACGTTCCACCAACTCCTCCAATCTCCTCCGAGCTAATGGGATGAAATGGAAGCTCACAAATACCAACCTACAACATTTGATTTCAGAACAACAACATATTAATATTACGCATTATAAACAAAAGACATAAACTACAGAGAAATAAAAATCTATCCGTTAAATCAAAGGGAAATCCGCAGAAAAAATAAAATAATTCACCTTAGCGCCATTGTTAGCCGAAAACCTAGCTGCGCGAACACCGCCACTCCCGGCGCCGATGACAAACAAATCAAAATCATAGTGAGTCGCGTTTGCTTCCTCAGCCGCCGCTTTATCAATCTCTCCGTCAACAAGCATCTTCCTCGCCATGATTGTGCAGAATCAGAAATCCAGAAACTAAAAAATATAAACCCCAAAACGATGATCAATCAACCACTAGGCAAAAAGGAGAAATTATAAAAATTGAAAATCAAACCAACGAAACAGCGAATCTCGAATCAGTAAAGATAAAATCCAATCAGAAAAAGAAATGGATCCAAAGAAGGATATTATATCTATGATGAGCCGGAAACGAAAATCGAGCAAGATCAAGTAGAAGTGTACCAGAAGAGTAAGATCCAGAGAAGAGAGACAGAGATACGGGGAAGATATAAAACAAATGATTGTGTGGGTAAATGAAATCGGATCTCTCTCTAAGGTTTTTGATCACGACGATATCATTTTACAAGGTATTTTTTTTCTAATATAGTTAAAAGTCGAAAAAAGAATAATATATTAAACATTGATTTTTATGAGTGTTCATACTTATGACGTGGAATTTATTTATATCGGGAATAAATATAATATATACCAACTTAGTGCTCATAGGAAAAACATATGCGAATTTAATAAGAGAAAGCGACTGCCAAACGAAGATATGAGAATTTTCAAGGTCTAAATTGAACGCTATAAAGCGTACGTGTTGTCATAATTTTATCTGACGTGGCTTTTCATAAAGCCAATGAAATTTAGTGACACAGCCGAAGAACAACAAACACTTCTTTTTTTTTGTTAATAAAACATTGACGGATACAATTAATTCAAATTCACCTAAGTCTGGAGCTCATTAATCCGAATGGAACATTTGAAACAAAAGTTCAAAACCCAATATTGGAGTTTCATGAAAATTCATTAATCCCCTTTGGGTTAAGACACCTTCCCTTTTAAATCCTGTGGAGAGTCTTGAAAAGTATGATCTACCAATAACGAAAATAAAATGCTTTTGTAATCAAGATTTCAACTTTCAGT